GAAATAGGCAAGAAGTAAGGCATGTAGCAACATCAGCACGTCAAAGTGCACACATTGAAAGGCAAGGAAGGGCAAAAACATTTTAAGTCAAGTTATAGCGATTGCTGTAATTGTCGTATGATTTTTAATCAAGCACGGGCAACGCCGGGTCATGCTATATATATATATATATATATATATATATATATATATATATATATATATATATATATATATATATATAAAAACATCAAAATTCTACAAATCATGAAACTGCATAACTGTCTATCCGACAAAACGTTCAATATATAAAACACATTATAATAGTTTCTTTTTCCGGTTTTTAGAGAAAACGTTTAGCCGTCTTGACACTATTTCTCGTAAGAATTCACTGAAAACAATTTGAATTATTCAGCTAGAAAGAGAACAGGTTAAAAATGTTTTGTGTCTGCCTACTTTTGTCTCAACTGAACAATGGTGAGAGAAACACGAACTTTCAAGCCTTCAGTAATTGTGCCAACATTCATACTCTGGCCTCCATCTTTAAACTCCATTACAGGATCATGTAGAGAATGGCTGAATAAGGTTAAAAAAGAGGGACCGTAGAGAGAAAAACTGGATCAGAACCTCACAGCAGGAAGATCATCATTTCAACTTAGATTTAAAGAGATCAATTAGAAAAGACCCAACTCAATCCATAAGACGTTTGACTTATGAGAGGGAAGTTTCAGCCATGACAGTCTAAAGAGCAGAGAAAAAATGACTTGTAATGTTATTAGATAATGTAAGCTGCATTACGAATTTATTTGCGATAAATTTCTGTAATTATCATTATTCTGTTTTTAATATTGAAAATTGCGAGTACTTTTGAGATCAAGTTAAATATTACGAAGATCTATCTGTCATTGTTGTTTAATTATATCGAATTGTCGAAGCTATGGCTAACATTAATAATGTACGAATTTATTTGAATTCATGAAATTTTCACAACTTAAACTGTTCTATCTTCGAACGTGTTAATTTGATCCGAATCTATTACCCCATCCCTTCTTCAGTGTCACCAGGTCAGAACTAATGAGCGAAGTAATACTTTACTGCATAGGGTTGAATCATCCTCATTCCCTAAGAATTCATTGGTAAGACGGGCGCTCCATTCCGACACATTATTCCGAAGAACCGTTAATTTTTGGAAGATACTCTCACCTGAATGATTCCCAAAACGTTACTATATTAACCGCGTCATAGCTATATTATTAACAGTTTGTCAGTCCTGCTCATCTTTCTATCCTCATAACTCTCGTTTTATTCAAATCAACAAATCATTCGGGAAATCTCTAAAATGTCTCTTGGCATTTTATTAGATAATTTTTTACTTAAAAAATCTAATAACTTGCAACGCAGGGAGACGAATACACGTCTCTCTCTCTCTCTCTCTCTCTCTCTCTCTCTCTCTCTCTCTCTCTCTCTCTCTCTCTCTCTCTCTGTGTCTTGAAAGTATTTTTGTGCGTGTGTGTTTTACGGACATTTGCGGAAAGCTATGTAATATCATGCTTTTGAAAATGTTTGTTGAAATGATATCCCGTAGATATCTACAGAACTATTTGCTAATAGTTATATGCAAATTATAAGCTTGTATTTTATCATGCGTTGTCTGAAATTCTAAAGTACTACATGAACATTTATTTCATGCAATTTTTGAGAATTCACGGCTATATACATTTGCCTAATGTATAATGGTGCATATTAATCATAATTTAATTGAAAAACGATGGAACCTGACCAGAGTACACTCCCGCGGTTTCGGCCTCTACGGTCTCCTCAGGTCGTTTCTTCAGCAAACCAACTACACGGAGCTTAATATTTTAAGCACTTTCGAAACCGGAAGTAGTGGGTGGGAGAAAAAAATTCTATCTTTAACCGGGTTGAAACAAACCCAAGCTGAACTTCTTAAAATGTCTGCATTGGGTCATGATTTCTGACCTCCCATTCAGCAATTCATTGCTGTTTTTGCATGTTGCTATAGACAGTTTTTCTTCTTGGCATAGCCTACATGTATTCTCGACGATTATTTTAGTCTTTAAATTTCTGAAAATGCTCCATTTAATGCCCGGAAGTTTGCTATGTCTGACCCTACAATTCCAACACAAGCTTGCTAGTTCCAACTTCTATTCTTTGTTCCAGAATTCTGAAAGGTGTGCTGTGATTGAACCAACCTCTCTTGAACTGGTTCTCAGTACATCGATGTATATTTTAGTGGTACTATTTTAAACTTTCACGACGGATAGAATTGATAATTTACGAATTTATTTGAATTAAGGACGTTTTCACAACTTAAACTGTTCTATATTCGAACTGGCCCTCAGTACATCGATGCATATTTTTGTGTAACTATATTCACCTTCCACTTCGGCACAATATACAACCCGTTTAGTACGGTACAATGCATTTAAAATACAGTCATTTTTGTATCCTGCAATTACATAAGGTAGTATTCTCGCCTTTCATGTCATTTTGTAGCTTTAAATTTCTTCTATTCATTCAGTTGTGTTACTTTTGGAATATATATATATATATATATATATATATATATATATATATATATATATATACATGGTGTCGATAAAGTTCGTGTGCTCTTTAAAAAGTTCATAACTTTATTTGCATTGCGATAGAAATAATTTGTAAAAAGGATTAGAAAGAAGTAAATATATATTTTTTAAGGTTTTATTGAAAGTTTATTTAAGTTTTCACATGTCTTCCACCATTAGCAATACAAAGGGTAATACGATTTTGAAGTTTACGGAAAACATTTGCCAACTGATTTACAGTAATGCCTGAAATCACATTAGTTATTTTAGCTATACTTAAAACTACGTATATTAAAATTTATAACTTTTTTACAGATTATTTCTATCGCAAATACAAATAAATTTATATTTTTTTTAAATTGCACACGAATTTGATGGGCATATATATATATATATATATATATATATATATATATATATATATATATATATATATAAGTGGTGTTCATTATCCTCTATGTATAATATAGTTTGAGTTTCAAATTGGGCGTAAATCATCGATAGCACAATCACTACAAAACTATCTATAATGATTATTACTTTGCATTTTACTTTGCTGGTTACTAATTTTGAACAGATGTACCCGTTTTTAAAGAGTGACAGACTTGTTTGCTTTACCTCGAAAATCAAAATCCTTATTAAAAAAAAATACACTCGCCAGTAAGTATCGTGCCTCTATTCTATTTATCCTACATTAAAAAATCTTGTAATCCAAATTCTTGAAATGTCATATTACGTACGAAATGGAGAGGTTCATTGTTGAACTTTAATCTTCCTGGATGAAAGGAATGTATAGTTTAATAATTAAATGTTCGATGACGTATGCCTTGTTATTGTTAATTTCATGGTTAAAAATATAAAAATCAAAGAAAATTAAATGTATTTGTGTACCTGTATAAATCCTATACCTATTTTCTATAAAGTCATATTAAAAATGCATTAATTACTTCTTTTATTAACTACATAATTCTAATTTTTCTTCATATGTTGCTCCTAGATATTACGCTTTTTTAAGGCAGAATTTGAAAGTCTTCATGAACAGCGTTACATCTAATCTAATGTAACGATCATGAGGGTTACGTCCAAATTATGATATAATTATATAATTAAATGGACTGCGATATTCTCTTGAAATATTTAAGAAGATAAATATCAGTCTCTGTGTGTACATTAGAGAGGGAAGACAAAGTACTTTCACAAATACTCTACGTAAAGAATAATTCCTTCTGAATGATTACTGGGCAACGTAAATATTCTTTTCATGATCTAACATCAATGCTGACCAGTTTCCAAGTCTGTGCTGATGCACATCATCCCCATAACATGATGGTGTCACTATCATGTTTCCTCCTGTTGCCTGATGTTTTACGGGCGATGTGCAGTGAGAGGGTTCCCACACAGGGAATGTTTTGCATTAAGGCAAAACTGTTCAATTTTGGTCTCAATTGATGAATGTATTTACTTGCTCGTGTCTATTATGTTTCGACAATGCTTGTGACTAACTGCAAACGAGAATACTTATGGCTTTCTTTCGAAAAGATCATTCTTCTTGAAACTTTGCTATAAATCCCAGATTTGTAGTGTTCAAAATTAATAATGGCCCTGGGGAGAGATTTTGACACTTGATTTGTGGATCTTCGCAGCTCCTTTAGTTAGCACAGGCCTATTGTTTGTTTCTCTGATTGATGCTCTACTTGCCCGGCATTGTAGGATTATTAGTAGTCTTATCTTGGTTAGTTTGAGCATTTGTTGTATTCTTTCTCTGTTTTGGCGAAATTACTTAATAGTGATCCGTTAGATGTTCTAAAAATAGAGGTATTTTAAATAGTGCTCCATTAGATGTTCCAAAAATTGGGATATTTTTATAGTGCTCTGTTAGATTTTCCAAAAACGGGGACATTTTTAATAGTGCCCCGTTACATGTTCCAAGAATAGGGATATTTTTAATAGTAATCCATTAGATGTTCCAAACATTGGGATATTTTACTAGTACCCGGTAGATGTTCCAAAAATAAGGATATTTTTAATAGTGCCCTGTTAAATGTCTAAAAAAAATAGTGATATCTTTAACAGGGATCTTATAGATCTACCAAAAACAGGGATAGTTTTCCTATCATAACCCTGCTTTATACCACTCAATAATTTGTTCCTAATAATTTTTAGTAATGTTCTCTAAAAAGAAACAAAAATCTCTGAGGCCTTTACAGAAAATGTGTATGCAACTGTTTTTGCATTTTTCTTATCGCATTAATAATTATGCGATTCTGAAAGAAATTGGTGCACTCAAATTTAAAAAAAAATAATTTATAAAAAATTTTGAAAATAATCTAATATCCCATGAATTCAAAATGATGTACTATTTTAGTTGCTTCATTAATGGGATTAAGGTGTGGTTGTAAGGTGACCAAAAATGAAAGATTTCAAGAGTGACAGTTAAATACTTATGCAAAACAATGTACACAGATTGATAAATATATAAAAAAGGATATACACATCCTCAAACACACATATACTGATAGATAGATAGATAGATAGATAGATAGATAGATAGATAGATATAAAGAGAGAGATGAGGTTAAGCATAATTGAGACGTCTGCTTTTGACTAAACATTTTCGAATTAGAACAACTTATGCAATAACAATTCCCGTTCAAAAATAGTCTCGTAACTTTTCAGTCCATATCCAGTATTTAATAATTTATCTGATATGTACTTATCTGTATAAAGTGATATTACTGTAATAAGCAGTGAAAATTATGCATTCTTCTCAATCGGAATTCGTATCTTCATTAATTGCCTCATTTCGAAGTATAGACAATTAATTTTAATGATTTTCGAGATAATTGCCATCAAATCAAGCATTAGGCAGACAGAGAAATGTTGCAAGACAAGAGGACATGTAATTATGCTTTCTTAAATCCGATAAAATTGACAGAAAATGCTACGTTGATAACGAAGCTGGGGGCGCTATCATTATGCCTCATATCAATATTCATCAGTATTATTCATATTGTATGAATACTGGTCATCTTTTAGACATCATTTTAGAAGGTAAGTCATGTTTGAAGCAGTTCCTCGTAGAAAAATCGGTATAAACCAATTATTTAATTTCTTCTTCTTCCTCCTTTTCTTCTTCTTCTACTTCCTCTCTCTCTCTCTCTCTCTCTCTCTCTCTCTCTTTATGGCTGAAAATTTTAGAGATTATGGAGCGTATATTCAATATCTTTCCAGGTTTATTCAAATAATTTATTTCATATTTTATTCATAAATGTATTTCATATTTTATTCATAAAAGTTAATTTTGGAAGTATGGGAAAACGAAATTAAGAGTAAACTGACTGCGTTATTATTCAAAATTATCATTGTTGTTGTTGCTGTTTATGATGATTTCAAATGCAGTGATGATGATGATGATTGTATATATTTATTAAAATATGCTTCTTCACGTGTAGAGAGGCTGAAAAAAGAGCGAAATCACATTGATAATCTATTTAGTTTTTGTTCTGTATTATTCAAATATTCGCATTAGTGGGTCACGATGGAGATGAAATGGGATCACATCTCTTACCTACACATTTTTATTGCAGTTAGCTTGATAGCTGTAGTAATGTATTCTGGAAAGTTTGAATTCTTCACTAGTATATAATTCCTCTAACATTTGCAACCTACTTTTCATTATATTAATGACTCCAATAATAATATTACAAATATGTATTTTTATATGTTGAAAGTACTGAAATATTTACTTATTTTTAAATATATTTCTTAATTTTATTTTGGACAAAATTTTAGAGTGTGAGATCCAATAGTAGACGTTGGTCTCTTTGTAACGATATTTAATTTCATCGACCAAATTTTGGGGTTCTAATTGAAGTAAATCAATATAATCGTTGTCTAGGTTTTTATTCACATACTTGCTTGACATTTAGTTTAGCAGTGTACTAAAAATTATCTTGGATCATCGAATCTGCACAGACATTATCAAAAGAAGTCATTAATATTATTTTATATATGTTTAATTATTAGATCTGGCAAAGATATCCATGACACATGACATAGGTTTTGCTGTAGAGAGGACGCAAATGCAGATACAGTTCTATTCATAGAAATGACAGGCAAAATATTAAAAAAAATGAAATAACACATAAGAATTATTCCCTTATTCTGAAAAAAAAATCTATTTATCTATCTATCTCTCTTTCTCTCAATATATATATATATATATATATATATATATATATATATATATACTAAACTATGCTATACATATATATATATAGATAGATAGATAGAGAGAGAGATACAGATATATATATATATATATAGAGAGAGAGATACATAGAGAGAGAGATACATAGAGAGAGAGATACATAGAGAGATAGATAGATAGATAGATAGATAGATAGATAGATAGTCTTCAAGCAGACATTGAGTCCAAGCATGAAATATTGCGTATATGCAGGAAACAGCCTGTCTCTGCTCGATGCTAGACTCAGTGTCTTCCATTATATTTACATATGCTCTATCGAAGACATTCAGCGCATTTATCCATAAATATACTGTACCTTTTACTCATTTCTCCTATCAAGGCATTTTTCCACGAGGAAATATGCGATTACAACGAGTGAAAATGAATCAAAATATTTTCATAATGAGGAGTGAGGTAAATGACAATAAATAAACAGTATTCAGGAAGACTGAAGATTTACATATAATATTGTGTATATTATCAATGGTAAGGAAACATGTATGTTTATACATTTCTGAAGCAACCATCAATTATATTTTAATAGTTTCATTTCTCAGACTTCTCGTACATTTTGAGAATTATAGATAAGAGATAAATAAAAATAATGTATGTGAAAGCAAAACCTAGACGTGATAGAACAAATATATTCAGGAATATGAATTCCCCACATAAAAAAGAGTAAAAGACACGTGTTCACATACTGGCTTCAGCTAATTCATTTTGTAAACTAGCGATATTAAACATGAGAATTTAGGGCAATATATTCATTGTCATGTCTGTTCAAAATTTGGTATTGAAGTTCCGGATATATAGGAAACACATCGCTCGGAGGATGTCATAAATGGTGCTAGATTATACTGTGGAAATTGAAAATTCTGGCATAAAGAATACTGATGCAAATATACCCGACATAGCCATAAAAGATGTCAAAAAAAGAAAAAAGAACCTGTCAACAACATCTTAGAATCTACTGACCGGATTCCAATATTTCTCAAAAATAATTTCTTAAAGTATCGAATGATATAGACGTGCAAATTGAAATAACGAAAATTTGGAAACTTTAAACTACACAGGCCGGTTGTGATAGGGGCATTGGGTATGATAAAAAAAGTGGTAACGATAAGCATGTGTATAAAACTCAGGGAAACATCAGCAAATCAGTGCTCCAAAAATTACTTTGTGCGTAACACTCTTCGTATAAACGAAACGTCTCAAATGGACATAGATAACCTCCCTACAATTCCCTATTTATTCATAGATTTTTGAGGGTACTTGAAAATTCGCACCATAAAATTATTATCCGAAAATGATACATCTAATAATAATAATAATAATAATAATAATAACAATAATAATAATAACAATAATAATCACAATAATAACTGGTATTAAAAACTGAATTGAATTCTCAGAACAGAATTATGGCCATTAATAACCTAGCCATCCCAGTGGTCCAATATAGTTTCAACATCTTGAACTGGACTCTAAATGACATCAGACAAATGGATTCTAAAACAAGAAAGCTTCTTTCTAAGTATAAGATGCATCATCCAAAGGCTGATGTAGACCGTCTATACATACCCCGTAAAAAGAAGGTGGAAGAGGTCTTATTCAGCTAGAATTGTCATACAAGACAACAACTATTGGCTTACTAACTTACATGGAAACAACAAATGACTGGATGATAAAATTAGTGAAACAACATGAAAACAGAAAGAAAAAATATTCAATAATAAAAGAAGGCAGTAAATACAAACAACATTTACATTTAGTAGATTCTGTAGTAAATCAAAACAGAAGCCAAGAACCAACTATTGCAGCAAAAGATATGAAAAAAGAAAGCCAAGGATAAAGCCCTTGAACAGATGAAACAACGCTGGCAAGACAAACCTCTGCATGGCCAATATCCAGAACGTGCAAATAAACCCAATGTTGATAAAGTTAATACTCATCGATGGTTACGAGCATCTGGATTAAAGTCTGAAACTGAAGGCTTTATTCTTGCAGCGCAAGACCAGAGTCTTTTTCACTAGGAATTTTCAGGCAAATATCATACATAATAATGTGGATCCAAAATGCAGGTTCTGTGACAAATACCAAGAAACAATAGACCATCTAATCTCAGGATGTTCTATACTTGCCCCAAATGAATATAAAATCGTCACGATAGAGTGGGGCAATACTTACACTGGACAATGTGCAAACACTTTGGAAAATGTAAGCAAACACTGGTATGAACATCGGCCAGCGCCGGTTACAGAAATAGAAGATGTCACCATTCTATGGGATTATACCATCCACACAGACAGAAAAATTGAAGCAAATAGGCGGACATTATTGTCAAAAACCAGAAAGAAAAACTTGCCTACTAATTGATATGGCTTGTCCAGCGGATTGTAACATAGCAACCAAGGAATTTGAAAAACTATCAAAATACAAAGACCTGGAAATTGAAATAGAAAAAATGTGGAAATTGAAAACAAGAATAATACCAGTGGTAATAGGTGCACTTGGAATTATAAAAATGGAACAAAACAACACATTGAAAGAATCCCTGAAACCCCAGCTTAAGAGACATACAGAAAATTGTCTTATTAAGTACAGCACACACACTAAGGAGAACTTTGTCTATGTAACGCTAGCAACTTCATCGGAAAAAAAAAAAAAAAAAAATTAACATGAAATGTGGCCATAACAACACACCACGACCTGCCTTAGGTCTTTCCGCAGACTTGGTAGGTAGTGTGTCCATAGCAGAAATCGAATGATGATGATGATGACAATAATAATAATAATAAGATAAAAAAATATTGCAGTAGACTAATTGAAGGGATACAAAAAATTGTTCTGAAAAGTCCAGCCCACACTTTACGAAGGGCTTTATCTATGTATTATTTTTTTTTGTCAGTGGAAAGTGTCATGATGCCATTTCTAACCTTAGGTCCCTGGGCGGGAACCGGAAAGAAATGTGTAAACGCCAGGAATCAAAGATAATAATAATAATAATAATAATAATAATAATAATAATAATAATAATACACATGAACTGAACAACAGTAGCTATGGTTACAAAATAAATAAGAAAATATTCAATCACCTACTCTACATGGATGTTCTCAAACTCTTTGCCAAAGACGACATTGAGTTGAAAGGCCTCCTCAATATTGTAAAATACTTCAGTGACGACATAGGTATGGACTTCGGATTAGATAAATGTGCAAAAGTAACTTTCAAGAAAGGTAGAATTACAGAAACACCCTTAATAGATTTAGATTTTGTCACAAAGATTAGGGAACTGGAGCATGATGAAGCTTATAAGTAACTAGGAATTAGAGAAGGAGATGGCATACAACACCCCCAAATAAAGGACAAAATAAGAAAAGAGTACTACAGGCGTGTAGGTCTGGTACTAAATACTGAGCTAAACTCAAAAAACAGGATATCAGCCATAAACACATTGGCTGTCCCTGAGGTGCAATACAGCTTTAATGTCCTTAACTGGACCATAGCTGAAATTATGCGAATGGACGCCAAAACGAGAAAGCTTCTCACTTGCTATCGAATGCATCATCCCAAAGCTGATGTCGATCGTCTGTATGTGCCCAGATCCGAAGGAGGCAGAGGGTTAGTTCAACTAGAACTGTCCTACAAAACTACAACAATTGGCCTCCAAAGATATTTGGAAACTACAGAAGACTGGATGATGGTATGCGTCAAGGAACATGAAAGTAGTAAGCGTCTTTACTCCGTAATGAAAGAAGCCAACAAATTCAAAATGGAGTTCAAATGGGCGTAGAGATGCAACTACAGCACAATACACCGGCTGAAACTGCAAAATACCTAAAAAAAGACAGCAAAGACGAATGCAACCGACCAGCTACAGAAGCGATGGCAAGATAAACCGCTTCATGGCCAATACTCTGCCCGTACCAAACAAGTTGACGTAGACAAAACCCTTACCCATCAGTGGCTACGTAGTGCAGTGTTGAAAGCGGAAACTGTGGGTTTTCTCCTTGCTGCGCAGGACCAATGCTTGCTAACTAGGAATTATAAGCACATATACTAAAATATTGTGTCATCCCAAAATGCAAATTCTGTGATAAATATCCAGAAACGATTGATCATCTTGTATCAGGTTGTGCGGTGTTGGCACCCACTGAATATAAAACCCGACATGACAGAGTGGGCCAATATCTGCACTGGAAAATCTGCAACTTCTGCGTGAAGGAAACTGAAAGAAACTGGTATGAACACCACCCAGACCCGGTTACTGAGATAGGACCTGTTACAATTCTATGGGACTATACAATACACACTGACAGAACAATCAAGGCCAACCGGCCAGATATTGTTATTAAAGACCACAGACAAAAACGATGCCTCCTTATTTATATGGCAGTCCCTGCTGACTGTAAATGTATCTTTGAAGATATTCAAAAAGTTGTCAAAATACAAGGACCTTGAAATAGAAATCTCGAAAATGTGGCATATGGGAACATCAAAAATCCCTGTTGTAGTTGGAGCCCTAGGATTGGTTGGAAAAGATTGCAGTAGACTAATTGAAGAGATTCCTGGAAGTCCATGCCTCAAGGAGATACAAAAAATTGTTCTGACAAGTACAGCCCACACTTTACGAAGGGCTTTATCTATGTTTTTTTTTTTTGTTTTTTTTTGTCAGTGTAAAGTGTCATGACGCCATTTCTAACCTTATGTCCCTGGGCGAGACCGGAAAAAATGTGTAAACGCCAGAAATCAAAGAAAATAATAATAATAATAATATAATAATAATAATAATAATAATAATAAGGAGACGCGGTTGGGATTACAACGAGAATGACGTGTTTAAGAAGCTCTTCCAAACGTAACGTTTTTTTTTTACGCATATGAAATTTTGTTATTTTTACTATTTTAACGTAAGCATGAATTTTCCTTCGTATTATTATTATTTAATTTATTTGTTTCTCCTTTAAATGATACTGATAGATTAATCAATTATTTAATTTTTCTTATTCATATATCCCTCAGTTTTCAATATCCCCCAAAAAAACAAAAAAAACATGACAGGTAAAAAACAATACAATTTCTACGATATTCTTTCTTAGAAGGATTGCGTATTTTTTTCAACAGCGCTATTTTCAACGACTTTGAAGAATAACGGGATTTACA